TTAATTCCCTACAATTACAAATGAATATATGAAATGTCATTACACAGTACATAGTCATAAATTACTTTTTATTTACTTAAGTTTGAGAAACATTTGAATAAAGCAGCGGTCACATGGGATTGAATCACAACATGGGGTTAAATCGGCACAGTGAGTAATCAGAAGAATTGCGCAGTGTTTCTACTCCCTGCAGTTTCTCGTTTCCTCATTGCTTCTACATACTTCCAGTCTCAATCATCTAGGTGCAACGCAGCCTATTGAAAAAACATCCTCTGAAATAACTATAGTTACTTCACTGTGACATATCTGTCAAATTGGTTAAGCTTCAATCTGTCACTGTAACCTTAGAAAGCAGGAGATTTTATTTAATAACGTTTCAGTTGGAGGAAGAAAAATGCAGCTGATCTGTCAAAGAGTGGATAATGAACAAGGAATTGGCAATAAACAATGATGACCAAATGTAATTTAGTAAGGAGCAAGGGATGCCATGTATATCTGACAGATAGATGTAAATGTATTAGTAGTTCTAGACACTGAAGAAGACTGAAAATAACTTCTCACCAAAATCCTCTTTCGGTCCTTCTCAGACAAGAATTTCACAGGTGGGTACTTCTGGGTAAAACTGTAAAATGAAAGAAAACCTTAAATAAGCACCATTCAAAACTAATTATCTTCAGCACACTATACAGAGACATAAGTGCAAATAAATCAATGCTAATGAAAAAGGTTCTTAAGAACTGGATTTTAAGCACATTACATTTTCCTTGCTTCTCTTTCAAAATAGTTCAGCACAAATCCACCAGTCAGTATTAAATATGTCAGTGTCTGAGCGCAGAAACTCAATACCATTTCCAGAATCCAGGGGGATGATTCCGTGCTTGTGATTTCCTCATCCAATTATTCTTGAGTTTCTCAATACTGACAAATGGATTTGTAGATACAGATAACCCTACTCTCCTAGTCCCCTGACTTCACTGATAACTCCATCACTGATCATTTCAACTGTTGAACTGGTCCTAAAGAGGACACTTTTCTTTACATAACTCAGATCTCATGGGCTCTGTATGCACTCCAGTGAAGCCTCATAAGAACAAAAACGATCAATTCACCCATCAGAATAAATCGCTATCACTGCCATTCTGAAAAGCGGCATTTCAAAAACAATATACATTTTATTTCATGTCTGTAGATTTTATTGCTGATTGCTATACTTGTTTTATGTCTTGCATGTAGAGCATTATATTAATTAGTGCTATCTGTTACGTTCAAACAACAAGTGTAACTCAAATGTTCATTCTTTGGCTCAGGTTATCAGGAAAGCAGTGAATTGGCGTTTTGCTTGAGCGATGCAAGAATGAATATTATGAACGTGGAAGAAAAAAAAATGAGGGATATAAAAATGTCACTGCATTACTGGGGAAAGAAAATCATAAATCCTTCCTCCCACGTGCGATTTCCCACAGAAGCAGTAAAAATAGTATTTTAGGAGCACAGCCCATGCTGATAATACTGGTGGTACCTTGTTATAAAGTGACAAAATGCTATCCAAGTTTTGTTATTTAGCCAAACTGATTTAGCTTTAGTAAAAACAAGATTAATTTCATACTGCTGCCATGACACTTCAGCTTGTTTGATGAATCTTCTAACACCGGTAATTTACACTGAGCATCAAGCAATCTCATTTGGGCCTGGCTGAGATGCAGCAAAGTGAAGAAAAAAGACAGTTACAAACTGCAGAGACTTCTCATCTCATTAAAAAAACTAACAAAACAAAACTGAGGAGTAACTTGTCCCCCTCTTGTCATGTCAATCAAAGCTTGCTGCACACTATGCTTCAGTTCATCTGCTTCATTTCGTCATGAATTCAGCCCTGCTTAGCAGCACATGCCACTTTACGAGGCAAACTCACAGTGCAATTTGAGGCTCAGAAATATCCTACGCGTAAAACTTTTCTATCCTACTCAAATGATTACTTATTAACGTGTTTTGAAATAATTGTACTATGCAATATTATTTTATTCTCTGTAAAAGACAAAAAAAAAGTAGGTATTCTGGGTGTAAAATAAAAACGTACCTAAGCTCAAGTTCTCGTATCTTCTCCCTGAGAGGTGCCACTGCCTGTAAGAAACAGAGTAAGATGTGACCATAAGAACAGGACAGGACGGGCAAAGAAAAGATATATAAGAAACAAAGAGAACAGGAAATCAGAGAAAAATAGAGAGAGTGAGGGGGACTATATCAATTACCCAGGAGAGACTGGGACAGTTAAAGCTTTCTAAAGAAAACAGAACTGATATAACGGTAGAAATGTATCTCTGACTGAGACAGCCATCAAGCACTATCAGCCCTCAAAATGATTTACAGATGAATCTGACAGCAGTCCGCATTACAGGGTTGTGTGACAAGGAGACCAAAATGAAATGGCTTTTGGTGAGGGAACAGGAATAGTTTTCAGATTATTAATCTTTGAATCATTACTCATTCTTTAATTAAGCCACTAATCAGCAGAAAGGTGGGTCACCAAAAGAAATGCAGGCCTGACTGCAGCCCTTACACTGACTTTTTGCATACTATCTGGAATTTTAAGCAAAACTGTCAATTGAATGCATTTTGAATAAGACATAAAATAGCTTACACTACACATTCACACATTTTTTTTATGTTTGTGAAAGAAGTGATTAACGTGGCCGCATTTATTTGATCAAAAATACAGCAACAACAGTAATACTGCAAAATATAATAGAATACTCATTACAATTAATTGTTTTCTCATTTCCATTTTAATATAATTTATTCCTGTGATGGAAAAGCTGCATTTTCAGCAGCCATTACTCCAGTCTTC